AGATGTGTTTGCGGTAACAATGAGTTCAAAAGGAGAACTATCTGGAGCTTTCTTCTTAGCTGAGAGGGAATCTCTGCTCATGAAAAGGGTCCCCGGATATCAAACAGTATTTCAATGGCTGCAAACCAAGTATCCCAACCCTCTTGGGTACTCCTTAATTTAACTTTTGTGTAGGAGTAGAAAAAAGAAAATTACTTGCTCATTAGAAAGAGAGTAAATGCCTACATAAATAAATGGAACCATATTACATCTGATTTCCTGGGCACCACAGACCAGCAGAAAAGAAACTTGCTTTCAGCAGTGTATTTTTTTTTTTTTAAAGATTTTATTCTTATTTACTTGACAGAGAGAAACACAGCAAGAGAAGGAACACAAGCAGGGGGAGTGGGAGAGGGAGAAGTAGGCTTCCCGCGGAGCAGGGAGCCTGATGTGGGACTCGATCCCAGGACCCTGGGATCATGACCTGAGCCAAAGGCAGACGCTTAACGACTGAGCCACCCGGGCCCCCCTTCAGCAGTGTGTTTACACTGCTATTTGCAAATGGCTGGCTGATTGGCAGCTACAATATATGAAAATAAATAACCATTTCAAAGATCAAGTGTCATGTTCCCTGGTAAGTAACAAAAATGAACATTATCTACCTTCCCCATCCTGTTTATAGAATTTAGCAGGAGAATAGGTTTATTGGCTATTTGATTGCTTGATATGTTATGAGGACATTTTCCATGATGGTGTGGTTATTATTTAGGTTAGATCAAAAATTCTTCTCCTTTCTCTCAGGACATCAGTATTAAGAATTACATATTCACAAGAAGGGTCCAAAATGAGTATTTTCTGAAGCAAGTGAAATGTGACAAGAAATTGTGAAATGGGGAGTGATGAATATATCTAATAATTTTTTTTCTTCCAGGAAAATAAAGTACCTGATCTTCCAATCCAATTTATCACAAGCCAAGATGCAAACTAGTAAATCTCAAATGCATAACCGGATGGTACTGCCCACCTTTAGACACCAATCTAAAAATCAGTTCATCAGATTTTATTTATTTTTTTTTCATCAGATTTTAATGGAAAACATTTATACATATTTACAAAGTAACCTTTAAAAATGTCTGTTCTAAGGTAAGTTAGGAGAAAGGGCGATTCAAATCCATGTGTTACCTCCCAGTCATGCTACAGTATCTAGGCACAACGGGATATGGGCACTTATGCTCCATTTTCACTTTCAAACTCCTTTAAGAAATGTTAGCTAATTTGTTGATGGAGTCTCTGAAGGGTTTGCTGTGTATTTGACCACTTAATAGCTGAAGTCTGATTTAAGTTACATGAGTCATATATGACCTACTACCATTAAATAACAGCAGAAAGGGATAAGTATTTTACAAAACTTTCAAAACAAACACTAAACCCTCTAGCTCTTTTTCCCTGCCATCTTTTTCTGTTTTTTAAAAAGAGGTTTCTTGGGCATACTTGGTGGCTCAGTCAGTTAAGCATCTGCCTTCAGCTCAGGTCATGATCTCAGGGTCCTGGGATTGAGCCCCGCGTACATCTGGCTCCCAGCTCAGCAGGAAGTCTGCTTCTCCCTCGCCCTCTCCCCCTACTTGTGTTCTGTCTCTCTCTCAAATTAATAAATAAAATCTTAAAATAAATAAAACAAAATAAAATAAAATAAAATGAGGTTTCTTCCCTATGCCTACATGAAGGAACAGATTTTGATTAGTCAGGCAAAACTGGGCAATGCTTAAAGTGAAGAGCTTATCTATGAAAACTAATATTTAAGCAAATTAACATTAATATTTGAATTGTGACTGAAAATATTCAATAGATTACTTATGGTCAGTCAATATTCTCTCTCACAACTGACTTATGTTCACGCCACAACATAAGAACATAAATATAAAAACCTCTAAAAAGGGCAAAGGGTAATGGCATTCACGTGTACTCAGGCTCAGGTAGTACTCGACAATTTGCAATTCCATGTAGACAAAAATATGGGAATTTCGACACTGCAGTTTTTAGATAAGCCCCTCAGTTTTACGGGTATTTATAGTATGTGTCCAGTCTTGCAGAACTCCATCTTCTTCCACCTCATTTGTAACATAAACTGCTCTTAAACCACTTCAGTATATTATTACTGAGATACTTCTTTTACACAGTACCTACCAAGCAGCAGATCAATACTCTAATACAGAGATGCCGATTCCATTACCACAAGAACCTGTGTGGGCAGCCAGATGCTGAACAAAGAGCACAGCTTTCCTCAGGTTTATTCCTTACATGTCTCCACTCTACCAGGATGAAATATTTTGCTATGGTGGGCAACTAGAAGTTCGAAAGAAATAATGGCATTTAAAATAACAATTAAGAAGCGTTGATTACAGAGAAAGTTCGAAAGATATAGCTAAAATAAATTTCTCCACACCTACAGGATGCTTATCATTTATCATCAAACCGTCTGTTCATCTACAATCATAATGCTGCACTTGATGCTTTACAAACTGCCAAAACATTAGGTGTTTATGTTACAGTTCAACACAAGACTAAAATGATATGGAAAGGGATTATGGAAAAGAATGGAAATAAAGCATTGGGTGAGAAATGGGGGTGGAGAGGAGGAAATAGGAGAAAAGGAAAACATTTTACTGTTCAAAGCCATTTCATTAACAAAATTTTGACTTCAACTTCTTTCTAAATTTGTTACCAAAAAATCTTTATTCACAAGCTTTTCATATAGTTATTACATTTATCTTCCTTCATACCATCATTATGATCCAAGGCAATAAAACAGAGTTGAAATATGATTAGAAAGGACAGGTATTTGTCTACATGCAGTGGTACTAGCAACATGTGGCACCAGAGGGATTTAACTTTTGTCCAAAACCAATTCTCGCTGTCTTTCTTCCACTATTTACTTCCAACGGACTAATGCTGCAATACATCCTTTCTAGACCAGCTTTAATCATTTTCACAACTATGGTTGCTATGACAACAGGATGCAGCTTATCTGTGCTGTTTTCATTTTCCCCATTTGAGTTGCCATAACAACACAATTATTCTGCCTTTTCTCCAATATGTGACAACTTTATTTTAGGATTGTAATCTTAAGGACACAGATTTCCCCATGAAGAAAGTGAATAATAGAATTTATAAGAATTTTATTTAAATAATACCCAATTTAAAAATCTTTTGAGGGAAGAGTTATTTTGATAGGGACTTTCATCATACAAAAACAAACAACATTAAAAATCCTGGTATCTGCCGAAATCTAAAGACTATCTGCCATTAGTAGTGGCTGATTTTTGTACAGACTTCCACAAAAAAACAGCAATACCATCATGATTATGAGCTGTGGGAAAACGTCCATTAATACCTATCCCAAGTAGAACAATCAAGAATGAAGATAGTTCTACACCACATACTTCGCTGTGGTAATCAACATCACTTGTTATGAATATAACAGCTTGCTGTAGTGGACTTTATACCAAGAAAACTACACTTAAAAATCTTTACCTTTTATCGAAGGTTTTCCATGATAGTAGAATCCTGCAGAAGTTTATACAGTTCAAATTCTCTTATAGTATAAATTGAATATTTATAAAAACTCAAATTCATACAAAAGATCAAAGAAAAGCATTTATTATTCTAAACCAACAGTATAAAATTTTAAAAGTATTTTGGCTACTGGGCCACCATCTCCATTACTAGGACCATCATGTTGGGACATGAAAGTGTGTTTTTAAAAAACTCAATTGTTATAACCTTTTGTTGTACCAGTATTTGCTGTAACAGGACTTTGTATATGCAAAAGGTTATCTTAATTTAATAGCTTATATCACTAAGTTCAGATCTTTTAGCCCTTTGATCAGCTGTCAAAGATACAGCAAAAATTTCTCCCACAGCATAAATATCCATGAATATATATACATATTTATTGCTTACAAACAAAACATGGAAATGTTACTATTTAAGGAGAAAATATGCAAATGTTACTAAATTCCCCTTTAGTTCCCTATAGGCATATAAAAGATTATTTATAATATTATAGTATTTTAACAGGATAGAACTTTTTCACATATTAATGTAACAAGACACATTTTAATGTTAATCACAGCTGAGATAATTTAATAAATTTTATAGTTTGCAATGATCTGAAAAATATGATTTATTTAACCAAACCTGAAGACCAAAAGAAAAATTAGTCTTTCATAGGACAATCACTTTCTTAAGTTCATTTTTCAAAGAAAAAAATCCACTCATTATCCAAACTCTGAAATAACAATTTAACAATTTGGTTTTAGCCTTTTTTAAAAAGACTATGGGGGATGAGTCTGCAAATGTTAAGAGCAAAAATGACTGGCTCAAGATCTTTCCTTTAGAATCCTTTCCACATTGGAAAATGAGGAACTCCAAGACAATGATAATGAAAATAAAGCCACTGGAGCACATAGGGTGGTTACAGGAGAGGTTGAGGGAGGGGTAGCAACAGCACAGAAGGTGCTGAGAAATGGAGAGGCTAGCACAAACTAGATTCCAATCCTAGGCAAACTGGATAGACCCTCATATGAAAATTAAACCAGCAAACTGGGCTAAAATCATATATGAAACCCCATCTCTCTCCAACCCTTTCTTCTTTCTTTCTTTTGTTGTATTGGTAGGGAACCGCAAGAAAATCCTCCTCTGAAAAGCCTACATTGCCCTAAGGAAGCACTACCTTGCAGTGACTTCTAAATTAGCCAGTAGGTCGTAGGCTGTAAGCAAGATGACATAATTTTATTATACTGCAATAATGTGAGTTTAAGTGCTAATGCTGTTCGAATTACGTGTCTCAAAACGATTTTTGTGATGCACTCTGGCAGGATCAGTGAATTATTTGTGCATGTGTGGCCTGGCATTCTTGGTAAAAGCTATGACTCATCCAGAATATCCCTTAAAAGAAAGCCTCTAGCTGCATCTCCAGGTCAGTCGGCTGTGAGCTGACATGCATGCAGATCTGTGCTACTGCTGTTACACCTGCGGGAACTCACTGGTGGAATTGCTATTCCTACCCTGATCTGACATGTCTAGCCATGTACTCCATAGGGACTTACAGGCTACTGGGACAAGCCCCTACCACTCTTCTCAGGAATGTGTTATACCCTGTCAAGAGTGGTAAGAATTTTAACCCTTACTCTTTCTGAACTAGGGCCTTCCTTATTTCTCCTCTCTGCTTCTAAGGTAAGAGGTGGTTTGCTTTTGTTTTACTCATAACTAAGTCTATGATCTCTATGTGTTTTGTGGAAAGGCGATTAGAAGAATCTGCTTTTAGCTTTACCTTTGATACTAGGTAATTGAGTCTAAATTTAAACAGACAAATCCAAGTAACTTGCTATCTAGATAACTTGCTAAACAGGAATAAACTAGTGTCCCTTATTAGAAGCAAAATGGAATCCACAAGCCAGGCCAGCTGCTTGCTGCAAAAAAGTACAAAAGCGTAAGAATTTCATATATTATGTGTAAGAGATCTATATGTACTCCCATGCTCCAAGATACAATGCAGTGATTTCTAAAGTTCTTCCAAATAGAATTGAGATGAAAGTATCTCCCTTTGTCCAGCTAAACAATGTCCATATTCCAGAAAATCTTTAGTTACTAAAGCCTTGGAATGAAGGAAGACCTAGATACAAATTCCTAGGCTTACAGTTAGTCTTATAAAGACATACTATTCCGTATAAGAAGTCTGTATTACACTGGTGATGCTTGTTCTAAGGATTATTTTTCTCATTCAAGTGCCTTTCAATGATGTATGAAATTTGAAGAGAACGTGAGAAAAGACAAAGAACTCAATTCTGCTACAATTAGGCTAGTTGTGTTAGGCCAATTATTTTCCAAAGTGAGGTGTGCACATGCCAGGGTGTAGGCAAGATGATCCTTTGGGATGCAGGGAGGGAAAAGTAGACTTTTATTCAAATTAATTTAGCTTAAAAAAGAAATCAGGGGTGCCTGGATGGCTCAGTCGGTTAAGCATCTGCCTTTGGCTCAGGTCATGATCTCAGGGTCCCGGGGTTCAAGCCCCGACTTGGGCTCCCTGTTCAGTGGGCAGTCTGCTTCTCCCTCTGCCTCTCCCTCTGCCCCTCCCCCTGCTTGTGCTTGTGCTCTCTCTCTCTCTCAAATAAATAAATAAAATCTTAAAAAAAAAGAAATTAATGTTTTCTGATTTTTATAATATAGATTGACACTGGTTCCCTCATTTGATCTGATGTTAGATGGTCAAATGTCACTTGTGAACCAAGTGATTCAAAGGAAGACTGGGAGTCCATAACACAAAGGGGTTGGCAAGAGCACCCTCCAACAACTATTCATTCTCTTTTGGCATACTGCAAAAAACTGTAGTGTGCCCAGGATTTAAGAACATAATCTAGTTTTAAATAAACTGTCAAGTAATGCTTCTCTAATTCCTTGCAGAAGCCCTTCATTAGTCATTTTACAAGGTAAAAATACTACACTAGCCATACATGAAAAAAATGAGCCAAAGACAACATCAAAGCAACCATCTAAAATATGAATTTATGTATATTATTTATATGCATGTATATACACTATTTATAATTTATATTCATAAAGTATATATAATGTAGATACCCTGCCGTAAGTGTATAAACTGTGCCTTGATATAGTAGCTAATGAAAGTAATGCAGACATACACTTTGCAATTTGTAATGTAACAAATCAAATAAAAATACTTAGGATGGGTACTCAAAATTATTTTCTGGTTAGGAGGCCATTGTTCTAGATAGCAAGTTACTTGGATTTATTTATTTTTAATTGAGATATAATTGACATATAACACTGTGTAAGTTTAAGGTCTACAAAATATTGATGAGAATTTTTATATTGCAATATGATTGCCATTGTAGTATTAGCTAACACTTCTACCTCATAACTATCAATTCCCACATAATTATCATTTCTTCTAGCGGCAAGAACAATTAAGATCACTTGGATTTATTTTTAAAAGAATTTAGCAAATTAAAGCACATGCCAACCTTGCCATTTTTTATAGAGTCCCTGAATCAGCTCCAACTTACACACCTGGTGAACAAGAAGGAGTACTTTGTGATGCCTGAACTAGGAGGGCTGAAATCATTCTAAGAAACAAAGGTAATTTTCCATTTGGTATTAGTCATAACAATTGACTCAGGGATAATATATGTGGACAGTACTATATTTTAGTATTATAAATTCCATTTGCTAGTAAATTAGGTCTCTAGTTTGAAAGACTAGATGTTGCAAATGATTAGACAGTCTCTAGTTCCAAAGGGTATTCTCTTTATACATTCCAAAATAATAAATTTCAAAAAAGTAGTTCTCCCACTTGAATATACTTCTAATCCAAAAATATGTTTCAAGGGCTTCCAATTACATGATTTTCCAAAGGTAACCTAAGTCCTCAAGTGTTGTAATATTTTAATCATGGCAGGAGCTGTAGTTGCCATACAGGATAAATAGTAACTTCTACAAGTTTGTTTTTTTTTTTTTTAAGATTTTATTTATTTATTTATTTATTTGAGAGAGAGAGAATGAGAGAGAGCACATGAGAGGGGGGAGGGTCAGAGGGAGAAGCAGACTCCCTGCCGAGCAGGGAGCCCGATGCGGGACTCGGTCCAGGGACTCCAGGATCATGACCTGAGCCGAAGGCAGTCGCTTAACCAACTGAGCCACCCAGGCACCCTGTTTGTTTGTTTTTTTTAAGATTTTATTTATTTGAGAGAGAAGGAGTATGCGAGCGAGAGAGCACAAGCAGGGGGTAGCAGCAGAGGGAGAGGGAGAAGCAGACTCCCCACTGAGCAGGGAGCTGATGCCGGGCTCCATCTCAGGACCCTGAGATCATGACCTAAGCCGAAAGCAGTCACTTAACCAACTGAGACACCCAGGCGCCCCTACAAGTTGTTTTAAAATATAAATCAGATTGTAGGCCATATCAAGAAATGCTGGTTATATACAGACTAGTTTCAGGGAAAGTTCTTCAGGCAAAATGCTCATAAAAACTTTAATAATCAAGGGGTGCCTGGGTGGCTCAGTTGGTTGGGCAGCTGCCTGCGGCTCAGGTTGTGGTCCCAGCAAGCCCCACATGGGCGCCCTGCAAGGTGGGGAGTCTGCTTCTCCCTCCCCCTGCTCTTGTAACCGCTTGCGCATGCGCGTTCTTTTTTCCTCTCTCTCCCTCGCAAACAAAATTTTTAAAAAACTTTAATCTTGATTATTAGAGTAAAATTTCTAAATATGATGTAGAACCATTAATATTTATCTCCTTTCACACAAGCATCAAAATACACCTTTGAATTACCCACATGACTTCAAAAGTATAAAATTAATATTTCTACCTGGTGTGATCACTTGAAAAATGTTTGGAAGCTGCTAGGGACAGAAAAATTAGAAAAGTGTTAGTATATTAATCGTTACAAGTGTTTTTTAAAAAATAAATAAATGAGGGTTGCCTAGGTGGCTCAGTCATTAAGCGTCTGCCTTCGGCTCAGGTCATGATCCCGGGGGTCCTGGGATCGAGCCCCTCATCGGGCTCCCTGCTCGGCAGGAAGCCTGCTTCTCCCTCTCCCACTGCCCCTGCTTGTGTTCCTTCTCTCGCTGTGTCTCTGTCAAATAAATAAATAAAGTCTTAAAAAAAAAATTAAACTAATAAATAAATGGAAGCATAAAAAGTGGTCATGTAGGGTGACAGGATTTTTAAATTTTTACTTTCTCAAATTTGTTCTAATGTCTTTTGAAAAAAAGTAAAAAAGCTCATTTATCAAAAGTTATATGGGACATCAAAATCGAAACGATATTAAGGTATTTTTTTAATATAGCACTTTTTTTTAAGATTTTATTTATTTATTTGAGAGAGAGAATGAGATAGAGAGAGCGTGGGGGGGGGGAGGGTCAGAGGGCGAAGCAGGCTCCCCGCCGAGCAGGGAGCCCGACGCGGAACTCGATCCCGGGACTCCAGGATCATGACCTGATCCGAAGGCAGTGGCTTAACCCACTGAGCCACCCAGGCGCCCCAATATTGGGTATTTACAATATAGACTTTTTTTTTTTTTTAAAGATTTTACTTATTTATTTGCCAGGGAGAGACACAGCGAGAGAGGGAACACAAGCAGGGGGAGTGGGAGTGGGAGAAGCAGGCTTCCCACTGAGCAGGGAGCCCGATGTGGGGCTCGATCCCAGAACACTGGGATCATGACCTGAGCCAAAGGCAGACGCCTAACGACTGAGCCACCCAGGTGCCGCTATAAATAGACTTCTTGAGGTAGGATGGGCTATTTATCATTACCCCCATTTTACAATATGAGAAATATGGAAGGTAAATGATTTCATAAATATTTATTTGCTGCCTATCATGTGCCATACACTGAGAAATACTGGTGAGCAAAACAAAACTTTACCCTCATAGAGTTTCTTTCCTTTATTTTTTTTTTTTTAAGATTTTACTTATTTGAGAGAGAGCGAGAACACGAGTGGGGGGAGGAGCAGAGGGAGAGGGAGAAGCACACTCCCCTGCTGAGCAGGGAGCCTGACTTGGGACTCAATCCCAGGACCCTGGGATCATGACCTAAGCTGAAGGCAGACGCTTAACCGAATGAGCCACCCAGGTGCCCCGAGAATATGTTAATATTTAGTAAGCCTTATGTTTGGCAAAAGGCCAATGTAACTAGAATAGTGAAAGAGGTAGGTAGGAAAGGACCAGATCTGCCTGGCAGAACAAAAGTCAGTCTTATCATGCATGGCCTAAGTGCAAAGGAAAGACAAAAAGTTTTACATTTAGATTTTTGAAAGATCACTATGACTCCTTATGGAAATTGGATTTAATGATTATAATAGTTAGAAAAGTATTATAAATTAAAAGCAATGGGTGCCCGGCTGGCTCAGTCAGTAGAACATTCGACTCCTGATCTCAGGGTTATGAGTTTGAGCCCCATGTTGGGTGTAGGGATTACTTAAAAATAAAATCTTAGGAAAAAAAGGGGGGGGGCGGCGCCTGGGTGGCTCAGTCATTAAGCGTCTGCCTTCAGCTCAGGTCATGATCCCAGGGTCCTGGGATCGAGCCCCGCATCGGGCTCCCTGCTCCACGGGGAGCCTGCTTCTCCCTCTCCCACTCCCCCTGCTTGTGTTCCCTCTCTCGCTGTGTCTCTCTGTCAAATAAATAAATAAAGTCTTTAAAAAGAAAAAAGCAAGCAAGCAATAATAACCTATAGTAAGTGACGGTAGTAGACGCAGAGAGAAGTGGAAGATTTTGAGATATCTTTTAGAAGTAAAACAGATAAAATGTAATAAGGGATTGAATATTAGAGAAAGGAAAAGTGAGGAGTGAAGGGTGATCCCAGGTTTCAGGCTTCAGTAACTGGGTAAATGGTGCTAAATGGACTAGCCAAAAAATAAATAAATAAAAATAAATCAAGATTTCTTTTTTTTTATATAGTAAGTTTGAAATCACTATGCAACATTCAAGTGGATAGTAAGTTAAATATATAAACCTAGGGGTCAGAGTAAAAAGAGGAGTTGGAGATCACTGGCACACTAGGAGTCATCAGCACAAATGGTATAGTAGTCCCCTTTAGCCACAGTGAAAACATTCCAAGACCTTCAGTACATGCCTGAAACCCTATCTATACCAAGCTTTCTCCTATACATACATACCTTTGATCAAGTTTCATTTATAAATTAGGCACAGTAAAAGGTTAACAATAATAATAAAATAGAGGGCGCCTGGGTGGCTCAGTTGGTTAAGCGACTGCCTTTGGCTCGGGTCATGATCCTGGAGTCCCGGGATCGAGTCCCGCATCGGGCTCCCTGCTCGGCAGGGAGTCTGCTTCTCCCTCTGACCCTCCTCCCTCTTATGTTCTCTGTCTCTCATTCTCTCTGTCTCAAATAAATAAATAAAATCTTTAAAAAAAAATAAAATAAAATAGACCAATTATAACATACTATAATAAGAGTTATGTGACTGTGTTCTCTCTCTCAAAACACTTGTACTGTACTCACCCTTCTTGTGATAATGTAAGATGACAAAATGGGTATGTGATGAGATGAAGTGAGGTGAATAATGTAGGCATTCTGAGGTATTGCTGGGCTACTACTGACCTTCTGACAATATGTCAGAAGGAGAAACTGACCACAGGTAACTGAAACTGTGGAAAGCCAAGGAAACAAATGAAATCACCCAGGAAGAAACTATGACAGGAAACGGAAGAGGACCCAGGACTAAGGGCTACGAAACTCTAGCATATAGATTTATCTAAGGGTCAAATGCTTATTAAATGATCTAACTCAACAAACAAAATGCTCTTTCATTAAATCCCACTGCTATTAACATTAAAAAAAAAAAAAAAAAAGCCTTTTTCCCTAGCCAGTGGTTCTCAAAATTTAGTATTTAACCCATTGTGTCTTCTAGGTGAGTCCCAGAAAAACTATTTATAAAATCTAGCAAAATAATAAGAAGAAAAAGTGGTGGCCTCTGGGAAGGAAAACTGAATAAGAAGATGGGGTGCCTGGGTGATTCAGTCGGTTAAGCTGATGCCTTCGGCTCAGGTCATGATCCCAGGGTCCTGGGATCGAGTACCGCATTGGGCTCCTTGCTCAGCAGGGAGCCTGCTTCTCCCCTGCCTGCTGCTCCCCCTGCTTGTGCTTGCTCTTTGTCTCTCTCTTGCTCGCCCTCTCTGTGTCAAATAACTAAATAAAATCTTAAAAAAAAAATTTTTTTTGCTATATATCCTTTCTACTTTTTGAATTCTGTACTATATGTTTCACATATCCAAAAATAAACATTTTAAAAATAACTCCATATTTTGGCTTCCATCAATAATGAACTCAAACCCTAGTGGGTTTATTACTATTTGCCTTTATGTTGTTGTTGCTGAACCTGACATGTTATCTGTAAAATATTTATGAAAGTATAAAAAGTCACAAGTAGCCAAGACTGTTTTGAAGAAACACAAGGTATGAGAACTTAACTACCATATATCATGGCTTATTATAAAGCTATGTAAATAAGGTTGTATGGTACTGACACAGGGATAAATAAAGAGAACAACAGAACAGAATAATGAGTCCAAAAACAAATCAATGCATGTAAGGACATGAATTATGGGGGAGGGAACACTGCAGATCAGTGCAGAAAACATATTCTTCCAATACATGATGCTGGGAGGCTTTAGAAATCCATATGGAAAAAAAAAAATGAAATGGAATCCCTTCCTCACATCAAACCCAAGAAACGATTCTAAACAGACTAAAGTTCTAAATATACAAGGCAAAACTATAATGTTTCTAGTAGAAAATAGGAGATTATGCTCATGACTGTAGAAAAGGTTTTCTTAAGTCAAAGAAGCACTAACACACATACACACACACACGCACACGCACACACATACACATTCCCTTCAATTCACCTATCAATCACACTCACATCCAGTGGAAGAAACACAAACAAGCAAAAGAAGTCAAAAGAGCACCAACTAGGTTTAGATTAGGGAAATGAGGGTTCTAATCCAGGCTGTCATCAATTGTTAACTTGGGGCAAGTCAAATGACCTCTTTGGGTCTTAGTTTGCTAGTTTTTAAAAGGAAGGAGCCATACTTTATGATCCAAACAAGGTCTTTGCCCAAAGTGATCTAAAATGATCATGAACCACAACTTCTTGAAAGAGCTAACGAGGTGGACAGCATTCCCAATGTTGATACCTTAAGAGAATGAAGAAAAAGAGAAAATGATAAATGTTTCCCAGTCCTCTCAGGACTGTAGGGTATAAATAACTGAACATGATGACAGTGTTTAAGGTTGACCTTAATAGAAAAGTGTATTCCAAATGCTCTTAAATGTAAAGTGCACTCACTGGGGTAAACTGCCCTTGCTGGGCATTTGTTTGGTCATACTATATTTCTTTAATAAAACTGATAAAAACAGAAAGATCCTGGAAATATCAGTAGGCTAGCAATCAAAGGCTTTAAGTGTGTCTCTCCATATATCCCTGACAAGTAAAATTCCATCATCATAGACAGGGATAAATTATGGCTGCTTGCCTTTGTGGCTAAGGGAATGAGAAAATTAAGAAAGGATGTTCCCGTAGGATTTTTGATAACCACCAGCCAAGTCATTTCTGTACCATTTTTCCTAACACTACCAAATAACAAATTCAACATTTCATTAGCTTCTCAAAATGACATTTTATGATAAAGCTCAGATCTGATAGTCATACTCTTATTAAAACAGTCAAAACTAGTTATATTGAAATAATTATCAACCACAAAAGGTTTTTCATTAAAATACATTATGTAATAACATTAAAATAAGACTCGATCAGGGGGTCTTAATCAAGGATCCAGAAAGAGGATTCATCAATCCCTGAACCTCTTAAAATTGTGCACAGAACATATGTGCATGTGCATATCTAGGGAGAGTATCTCATGACAAACAAAAGACTTTTTGTGAGGTCCATGAATAAAAAAAGTTATGAAACCTTTAATTAGATGATACCTCCAGACTCTTAAAGCCTATGACCCCACACAAATTTGGTGACATTTTAGTAAGGCAAATAACTGACCCACTTATTAAGGAAATAGAATTTTGCTTCCTTCTGATTCATTGCTCTTTTTCTCTTAATCCAAGTACAACAAAAATCAGTCTCACTTTAAAATAAATAAAAATAAAAACTAAACCAAATTTTTAAAAATAAAAATTAAAAAATTGGGGGGCATCTGTCTACCTCAGGGGGAAGAACATGCAACTCTTAACCTCAGGATCATGAGTTCAAGCCCCATGTTTGGTGTGGAGCCTACTCAAAAAACGTGAAGAAAGTAAATAAAAATTTAAAACTTCATGTCTTCAATTATTAAAAATTCAGTTCAATAATGTCCTATTTCAAAATCTTCAGTTTACCTCCTTACTTTTAAGCCTCTCTAAACACTCAAATTTTAACTACAATATATTCCATTTCTCAGCAAGAAAGACAATCTATTCTTTGGTCTTTTCTACCAAGCATCACTCTCTCTAGGTCCTGAGTAGATTTTCGCATTAATTGAAAACAAGATCTCACTCTTTCCTACTGCTTTACATAATTAATTGGAACTGTTAGTCCAAATTCATCAATCCCTGAGCCCTTGAAAAAAGCTATTAGTCAAATCCTAGTCTGGCCAAAATATGGTGACTGATTCCCACTCTCACTTCATAAATACATACTTAAAAAAACACACACACAAAACTTACTAATGAGAACTATAATTTATCACCAACTACTCATAAGAAATTATAGCTCTGCTGACTGGCAAGTAATTTGCAAAAGCAGATCAGTTTAGCTGCATAAAATAAATATCCACCTGCACATACTAGCACTAATCAGGGCGTGAAATTAAACTTTTTATTCGGAAGGAAATAACTGCTTCAAAGCTGGGATTTAGTCTGGGAAGCAAATATTAAGGTCATCCTTTTCTCTCTGATGTTTATAGTATTTCTAATGTGGGAAGCAAGGGGGGAGAGCTGACTGACCAAATTCTGTAAAAGCGAAAATATCTCTATGACATAACAAATATTCCACTTGCTTTACTAATTACACAAAACCAAATTGCTGAAATGTATGCAGAGATCACTTAAGAACTGTAAGCCCAAAGAGACCACTACAGACATCTAATTCAGTCAAAACTAAGGGATCAGTGTTTCATTAAGTGAAATAAAGAAAATTCAACAAATATAAATGCCACAGTAAGTTTTTAAATAGCCTATAGTCATTTTCATTATAACACGGGTCAATTCAGGATTAGCCAGGTTAATGAGATCCTATTCAATAATAGTAGTAGCCAATTATAGCCAATAGAAGCCAATTCCCACAATTTTTCCAACACTGATCAAAATAACTAATAGAAGGCGCCTCGGTTGGTTAAACATCTGCCTTCAGCTCAGGTCATGATCCCAGGGTCCTGGGATCGAGTCCCGCATTGGGCTCCCTGCTCAGCAAGGAGTCTGCTTCTCCTTCTGCCCCTCCCCCTGCTTGTACTCTCTCTCTCAAATAAATAAAATCTTAAAAAAAAAATTAACTAATACAAACTTCCTCCTGAAACCAATATTATCCTATATGTAAACTAACTAGAATTGAAATAAACTTGAAACAAAAAAATTAACTAATACAAACTTCCAACTTATTCCACTATTCTATATCTACACTACTCTCATGTCTACCAGAAAAACCTAACAAATAGAAAAGAGCCCAAATTATCATGAGCAAAATGCTGGCTTGATTGGCCTATACAAGCCACCATGGGTACTCCACCTGCGCCCCACAGCCAGCAGCAGCATCTGGAAACTAGAAATGCAAATTTTCAGGCCCCACCTCAGGCCTACTGAATGGAAAATACAAATCCTCCAGGAAATTCTGATGCAGTTTTTACTACCATAAGCCCTTAAAAACTGAACCTAATTCTTTATGCAGCTTTAGACTTTTCCATTAAAGATAAAAATTATAAAACACGTAACTTGCAAATTAGAATGTAAGACGTACATTTAATTAGTCTAAGTTCAAAAACAAAACTAAAAGAAAGTAAAAATGATGAAGTCTACACAATAACTTCCCCAAATATGAAACAGTCACCATTTCAGTCATGCAGAAAGAAAAAATGATTTGGAACAGCATAAAAATAAATGGGCTAATTTTACAACTACCGCAGAAGGATCATCATCAATGGATGCTAAAACTACTGGGAGAAACAATGCTGGGAAACAAGATATTTACAGTTTCCAAATTTCACTCCATTAGGCACCAATTAATTACAAATACATCTTAACAGTGGAAAAATTTGGTAAATACAAACTTAAGAAAATGATCAAACTTAATATCACCAATAAAGGAACAAATTGCCATGATGTACCTTCTCATGGAATGCACTGAGAAAGAAATCACAACATGCATTCCTGCCAAAATTTCTTTAACCTGAATCTAAATCATGAAGAAATAATCAGACAAATTCAAATGAGAGACACTGTGTAAAACTAGCCTGGACTCTTCAAAAATGTCAATTCCATGAAAAGGAAAAAAAAAAGGCTAGGGAACTGTTGTAAATTAAAGGAGACCAAAGAGACATAACTATATATAACGTTGACTGGATCCCACAAAAAAACCCCAGAGTTTAGAAGCAGCAGCTCTGAAGGACATTCCTGGGACAATTAGGGAAATATGAATATGAACCATATATTGAATAATAAGATGTTATCACTGTTAAATTTCCTGAGCGAGATTTTACTGTGGTTATGAAAGACAGTGCTCTTATTCTTAGGAAATATATGCAGAAGGTGAAATATGAAGATTGCCTGCAACTCTCAAATGATGTAAAAATAAAAGTACAGCTATATATAGAGAAAAAACCCACTGGGGCAAAATGGCTAATCCAGGTAAAGAGTGTATGAGTGATCATTATGCTTTTCTCACTATTTTTCTATAGGTTTGAAAAAAGATTGATACCATTCTTACCCCTCTTCAAAACCATATTCCTCCAACAGTATGATCTTGAGGAAGTAACTTAACCTCTCTGTGCCTCAGTTCCC